TGACTTGGTGTCTATCCGCATGCAGAGCGGAGCGGGACACGATTTCAGGCTACTTGGCACCCCCTGGGGACAGCATGGACCCCCTCACGCTTCCCCAGACCTGGCTCCCAAATCTCTTGAGGTTTACTGTACCTATTTCATATTTTTATTGTTTCCTTCAAATAGCAGGAAGGTTGCTATGGCTTTTGCCTTAGGTATAACAGCAGTCTTTTCCCATGAGGAGCAATTCAGGACCACAACAAATATTGCCGGGCTGTTTTTCTTAATATAGAAATGTTTTCTGTTTAATAATAACTAGAATTTTTAGCCTTAAGTACTTTAACTTTCACCATTTCCTGGTCCAAGATTTTATTTTATTTTTTTTGTAGCAGGGATCAAACTTGGGTCCTTGTGCTTGTGAGGCAGGCGACGTAACCACTGAGCTAAATCTCCAGCCCTAAGATTTTATTCTTAAAACCACATAAACCATGTTAGCTGATGCCAGTCACAGCAGTTTGAGAAAACCTGAATCGTGGAATCAATCACTTACCAGTCGAATTATGCTTATCAAATTTATTCAATACGAGAACTGACAGGATGGAAGGGCACCAGCAGAGCGATGCGCAGGATGGCGCACCAAGGGGCTGGGACCAACTTTCTAAATGGTTTCCACACCACAGGGCCTACTTCTCTGTCAACTTAACTGTAATTAAGGGCCTGTCTTGTCCCATAAGGCAGCTGAGTGCACAGTCCCAAGCGCCACCCTACAGTAACCCCAAGGCTGAGACGAGGCTGGACAGTCTCAGCTCAGGGAGCATTTTCTCAAAATGACCAGGAATGCTTTTATTTTCTCTTTCTTTGGAGTTGGTCTAAACTGAGGCCCTTCACAATGGGCCACATCTCAGTCCCTTCCATTTTGAGGGTCTAAGTTGCCCAGACTGGGTTTCTACTTCCCCTTCTCCTGTCAGGCTTCCAGAGTGCTGGGATTACAGGTGGGCACCATGTCTGGCTTGGATACTTGTTATTCACAGTACTAAGTAAACTAATGCTACCTTTTGCCTCATGTTTCAACTCCTCAGTGCACTCTCACCCTTCTAGGATTAGGAAGCCCCGCAGCCCCCACTATCCGAGGTCATGTGCTGTACTTAGCACCCTATCTCACAAGCCTGATGCTTTTGGCCCTACCATTTAGCATCACTTTTGGTGACTAGTGATTACTTCCATTTTCCAGGGTGTACAGGATGTATGACACAACTCACCCAATTCACTTCCGTCTCTTTGAACATGTATACACACCTAACAGCAAACACACACTGCTAATGCCTCACCTATAGTACATACATGCCTTAAAATAGTCCTGCGTGGTAGCTGTTAATTAGCTTTTTTACATGGGGCTCATCAGGGTTAAGGTAGTGAGCAGCAGGGGTGGCAAGTGAGCCAGGGTGACAAGCTTTACCTGCTGTCCTTTCTGCAGCAATAATGACAACAAGAGAGTGCCAAGTTTGATGTGCACAAGGCAAAGGTCTTGCTGACTCAGGGCTCAGCGCACAGAAGCAAAGTTTTCACACAGTAAATCCAAGTCTTCTCCAGGCAGGGATAGGCTTCTGCTCAACGGAGGAGGAGACTGCTATTTACAGGCTATGTCATAGAAAAATGAGGCATTTCCAAATATGTGAATCACAGCGCCAAGCTGGAACTGAGGCCACTTAAATCCCACACATTTATGGTACCCCTAACTTAGCAAAACTCCCCAGTATTTACTTCCCACATTTTCTAGTGCTCTTGTTAATACCAAGGCTGACCAGAGTACTTGGCCCCTCCAACCCCCAAAGCCTTGAAATATTAACAGAACTTGGGGAATGATGATAGTTCACACTGGATGTGCCTGGTTTTTATTCTAATTTCAGCCCTGTGTTTAAGTAGTTTGTACTGTTGTTATGCCCAGCATGCAGAGAAGGCAACTCAGGCCCACAGGAGGTGAATGAGTACCGACAGACTGAGACTTGTTAGCCAAACTTTAATCACAAGTCAGCAAACTATGGCTGGCCTAGTTCTCACTGGGACAGACTCTCCCAAAAGTTGAATGCTGTCCACAGCTACTTTTGTGCTACATTGGAAAAACAAAGCCGTTGGGACTCTGGTCTACAAAACCTAGCAGACAGGCTGCAATTCATGGCTTCTTAGCCACAGCAATGACACTTTTTGTTTTTTGAGTCAGCATCTCACTATGCAGTTCAGGCTGGCGTGGAACTCATGGTGATCCTCTTGCCTCGGCCTCCTGAGCGCTGAGATTATGGTGGTGCGCCATCATGCCCAGCAAATGGCACTATTCTCAATTACCATTACAAGCTAGGCAGGACAGAAGTGCAAGCTCAAGCAAAAGAGAACTATACAAAGATCTTGAATCACAATCATGAAAGCATTACACTGTTGCTTTAAATGGAATTTTGAAAAACTTTTTGTCATGTAATAATCACCTTGTACTTTTTTTTTGTTTGTTTTGTTACTGGGGATCGAACTCAGGACCTTGCACTTGAGGCAGATGCAGTGCCACTGAGCTGAATTCCTGGCTCTAGATTCACTTTTACTATAGACAACAAGCAAAGGCAGAAGCGAGACCAAACATTATCTGCACACAATGTCTGGGTTACACTGTATAGAAGGGGGACTGGAGCTCAGGATGGCTTCAGCTGACTTCTGTCCCCTACGGCAGTTCCCACTGCCGCACATGGAAACTCCAGCCTCCGCTCCAGCTTGATGTGCATACCCACCTTGCAGATCATTAACTCTCACTTATAGGGTCAAAAAAATCTGCTCAGGAAAATGAAACAAGGTCTGGCCATTATTCTTTTGCAGCAAAGAGGGATAAGAGACAAGAGACAGAAAACTGACACAAGCAGAATGAAGCAGGGCTAATTAAGTAAAACATTTAGTTAGCTCTTTAGCCTTTCAGACTGCCTATTCCTATCTCCAAACATTAGATCACAAAACAGTGTCTTGTAAACACCCCTTAGGTATTATAAGACCACACATATATCTGTACCTTTAAGATTATCTCGCTTTGAATTTACACCACTAAAAAGAATTCCAAATTCATTACGCCAAAGCGTCCTAATACTTTTGTTACTTTGTTAAAAAATTAAGATAGAAAATTAAGAGTCATACACATTTATTCCCCTCCAGAAATAGGATTTATAAATATACCGTTACTTGCTGACTTGAAGCCACTAACTATAGTACAAAAGCCAAGGGAAAAACCCCATAAATTTTCCTCTTGCATAGACAGCACAAGGTAATAAAAATGTTTCTCTGGGTGATTACCACAAATTGATAGCTCATGGAACATCATCTTATGCACATCACATTAGCAGCCTTCGATGCCAACCGACTATGCTAACTTAATTCCAAATACCCTTATGCCTTTCTACCTCTATCAGAGAGTAGATGTAGTCCGACTGCATTGGTGGTGCACCCATGTGGCTTTCTTCAGGGACCTCACACCTTTGCTACACGTACATCTTGATTATCCCAGTAGTGTCCGGCTGGAAGGAAGGAGGTTCTTGCTCCCAAAGTGCTAACACAGTGCTCTGTATTTACTAGCTTCTATACAGAAACCATAAATTTTCTGATCACTCTCCTGGAGCTTACAACGTGTGCCATATTTTTCATGTCTCTTTTTCGCAAGTGTAGTAAAATAAATGACAAGACCGACACTGCTTCAAGTGACAGGCATCAGTACACGGACTGGCTTTTTAGATTGTAAGAAAAAGCAGGAAGGGTTGTCTTGACATGCTTTTACTCCAACCATTTTTTCTCCTATGGGAATACAGTGTATAAAGTAGCTCCAAATGCTGCCACACATCTCACTAGAGTCCCACAGGTCCCCACTGACACCAACAACTACACTGCTGGTGAAGCCACTCACTATGGAGCCTCCAGACCAACCATGTCGTGCTGCAGACTGAGAACAGAGAAGGGCATCTGCTAACAAGTGAACCACCTGAATAGAATCCATTCTTTTTATTCCATTTCAGATTTGGTTTAATAAAGTAATGCGAATCATTTAAAGAAAAAACCTTTAATTTCAAATTCTGGTCTATGCATAAAATTCATTTTATATCACGTTTAAATTTAGTACAAACTATAAAAATGTTAACACTGAAGTTTTTCAACAGAAATCTATTAAGATCCCTTAAAAAATTGTTTAAAGAAACAACAGCAAGTCATTTACTGCTATGAGGTTAATACACAAAGAAAAACATTCACACAAATTACTGAAATTTTCAGTGAATTATTTTAGCCATTATTCTAACTGCAAAATTAAAAGTTCAAAGGTTGCGTGTGGCTCTGCAACTATTATAATATGCAATGAAAACACTGAGCCAAATCTTTTTGCTCTACCCAGAAGAATCCTAGTTAATAAACAACAAACAAACAAAAAAAACTACTGATTTAAATTTGCAAACCCTAAGAAGCATACCAACTGTGACTGAGACGGATGTATCATAACTTAGCTTAAATTAATGGGAGAGAGAGTAAAAACTAGTTTAAGATTGAATTGCACAAGGAAAATGGGAGAAAACATCAGAGCCACAGCTATTATTTTAAAAAAATATTAGATCATTCTGATATTAAACATTAAATGAATCCAAGCCAGACAGTACTGAGTTTTTGCACAAGCTTCTTTTGCATTTCATGTTGTTTATTGAGGAGTGAATGAGAGACTACCGCCAGACATGCCAAAGACACTTCACATTCCAGGGCTGGAGGCTGAAGAGCCTCCCGGAGTCACTGCATAAGCCTTTTGGGGAAAAGAACCAAAAGTGACAGCAAATGTGACATCCTCATGCTCGCAGTTTAGCATCAGTTTTCCTTCCATTTTTGCACCTACTGGTTTGCTGGGCAGGTTTCTTTGTACCCCACGAACAGACTCACACTCCAATACTAGCATAAACACCAGGGTACAGCGATTTGTTTGAACACGCCATCTACACCGAGTGATGTTAAAGCTGTCTATCATCTTTGTCTGATGAGAAAAATCCACCCCCTTCACATGGGTGGGATATCCTGATAGAAAAATATTCTTCAGTGCTACACTTCAGGGCCTATGGGGAACTCCGCCAGTGGTGTGAAAGAAACCCACTGCAACTCCACTCTTTACACAGGACTGCTCTTCCTGTTCGTGGCTCTCCAGAAGAATGGCCTACACACAACACTACTGCTCTCTTCTCAAAAATAAAACAAAGAAACCTAAACAAAAGGGTAAATGTTTATTTGGAGTTAAGTTTTCTGATGGATGGTATTAAGGCCCTTCAAGCAGAGTTCAGGAGCTCCTGTATGGCTGCCTGCTGCTCGGGACTGAGCTGTGATATGCATTCAGTCCACAATCCTCCAGAAGTCTGGGGGGAAAGAAGAAGAAGAAAAATCACACAGATTTTGATAGGCGATCACTTGGAAGGATTTAGTAACTACCACACAGATGCTAATACTGCCAAACACCTCTCTAGGTACTTTTAGTTTGAGGAATGCTACTGTAAAAGCAAGAAAATTGTCAATTTCTTCAAAGTTTATTTCATTTACAGGAAATTTTCTTCAATTTTCCTGGATAAAGCTACACCGGCACATGATACCTTCAAGTAAGCTACCCAAATATTGCCCAAATTCAGGATGTAAAAATCTTTTAAATTTTGGATTTGATTAACGTTAACCTGCATCTTTTTCATTCAGATATGCAAAAACTACTACAGAATGAGCATATGCTAAGCACCAACCGAAAGGCTTAGGATGTGGTCCAGTTTAAGGTGAAGATTTTAGATCTAATAAATACGGAGAACACATGAATAGATTATATTATGTACAATCCATCTGATGTCTGAAGACAAGATAAAAATGAAATGTTCTTATCTCATTAGTTTTTAAAAATACACAATATACAATATAAATATGGGAAGGAGGTTTAAGAAAAGTAAAGGAAAAATTTCCTAATTTAAGCAAATCAGCTTACCTGTACCTGGCGAACTACATTTGCCAGACGTTTGGCACAAGGGTCTTCATGTTTAATGGCCTCATGCATTTCTCCTTCGGCAATTATACTGAATATTTTGGGCAGATTGGTGTTGTTTGGGCCAAGAACGATTGGGTGATTACTGACAAAAGAAAAAACAAAAACCTTTCTAAATGAAATGTCTAAGGAGAAATCATTCGAGCTCTCATTCTGTCACATCTTCCCTATTAAAGTGTTCACCAAAATTTACTGACTTTTAAATTCAACAGGAAGACAGTCCACTAATTTCACACACATGAACTCTTCCATTTCTTCCTATGTAACTCAGGAAAAATACTTGGCTCAGGAAAAACCTCTCAGGATTATTTTAAGGACTAAACAACAGAATGCACTGCTTTATAAATAGTTTGTGATGTATTAAAAAACAAGGGAGATACTGGAGAGTAACTTTCTTAAATTAATCCTTTCAGTGTTCCATTTTTGGAATTCCCCTAACAACAGAATGTAATCAAATTTCAAATTCTTTTTCCTTGACTTTTTCTAGGCAACATATATGAATTTCATGCAAAATTTCAAAAATTTGCCATGTATGGCATAAATAAAAGTTTCTAAATAAAGCCTGGAGTTCAAAGATTATATGGACATGTCAAGATTAAGCTGTCAATATTTAAGTAAACTCCAGGGAAATTTAACAAAATGAAACACAACAGTGAATTTAAAAAGAATTTGTCTTTGTCTCAGACAGAATTTCAGGGCAGTCACTTCCAAGATGATCACATGGCCTGCCTGAGCCATGGTCACCTCAGATGCAGGAGCAGGTGAGGGTGGTGTGGGTACAGCCTTTGCACGGCTATCTCTACACAATATTCCTTACGCAGTCTGCTATGAATCCAGGGGCTGGAGCCCTCGGATTAACTCATGAGCATCAGTTAACAGTGACAAACAAGAGTGAGAGAATATTTAGGGGAGTATGCATTGAGAAAAAGATCCAAAGAATATGGCTCTGACTTCAAAGGTTCTATAGCCCCCAGGCACTGCAGCTCTCACGTAGGCAAGAGAACACTACATGAACGTGATTTTCTCTCATGCTGAATTTAATTCCATCAAGAATAGGTCAAAATTAGTTATTATAAAGCCAAAATTTGAATCATAACATGCTTTCTCAACATGTCATAAAGGTAGCATTATTATAAACCCAGACAACTGAGGACACTGCATAAACATAGTGGGGTTAAACTCCGAAAGACTGAGCTTAGGGGGAAAAGCAAAGAAACGCTGTTTCCGGTGAAGGGGAACAGAACAAGTCAGTCTGCTTTCTTACCTTTCAATCAGGTCACACAGATAACTGAAAGTCTGAACAGCTTCTTCTTTGTCTTCATGTAGTGGAAGCCAAGACAACCAGTGTGGCAGGACTTCTTCAACGTTTACACAGTTAGGCTTGAACTTCATAATTTTCCCTACTGCTGAGATGCAGTTCTCTGTAGCATTGACATTTTCTTTGGTCTTAGAATCTCCAGACTGAATAACTCGAACAAGCAGTGGAAGAGCTTCTAAAATAATAAACATTAAAAAAAAAAAAAGTCACCCAAACCCCACTTTTTCATGCAAATGAATATGAATATTTTGAACATAACTACTTTGATCTTTTGGTCCAATTTTTGATTTAAAGGTCAGGAAACTTTTGTGTTTCTAGCTTCATCGTCACAAAGTGGTTAGGAAGAAGACACTGGCCCCGCATGGCAAGGAACACAGAGCCCTTAGACCAGAGAGAATACGATTCTAGGTCAATGCCGCCACCATCCGAGGGCACTCAGCTTTAAACACTGCCTACCTAAATTCTCCTGTTAAGTTTGTTATTTTTCCTGTACAACCGGATTGAACCTAAGGCCTTTGCAATGAAATACATCTCCAGCCCTTTTAATTATTCCCCAAGTCAAGGTCTTACTCTAAGTTGCTCGGGGCCTGAACTTATGATCCTCCTATTTTCTGTATGCTGAAATGTTGAGATGATAGTACACACAGGTACCATCATGCCTGGCTCTCCAGTGATTTAAAAGAATCCTACACTACAGCTGTGGCTTAAACCCCAAATGAAATGTACCCCGCATGGTTAGGGTGAGGGAGACAGATTTCACTTCTAACTGTATCAGAATAAATAAGACACAGACCTAGGTGTTAAGGTAAGGTGTTTAAAAAGGGTGAAAAAGGGCCAGGGATCTAGCTCGGTTCTGGTGCTTGCATTGCAAGCACAAGGACCCGAGTTTGATCCCTGGTGCCAAAAACAAAACAAAACAAAAAAACAAACAAAATGGGGGGGTTTAAGTAGAAACTGGCATATAACATTAAGGGGTGTGGGATGCAATGCACAAGGTGCAATAAGCAGAAGTACCTGTACAGAAAGGGCGGTAGTTATCTCCTCCATACTGCGCCATGACTCCCAAGCCGTACGCGGCTGCTTGCCTGACTTCTGGGCTGTTGTCACATACATACTGGAGCATTGGCCTTAAGAAATATTCTGCGTACTTAAACGAGGCCGGACTACAGTGTTCTATGACATCATCAAAGATGCACAACCCCCACTGCCTGTCTGGCCATGGTCTATGTGGACACTATAAAACAAAAGAGATCCTCTTTTAAGCCTCAAGTTGTTATATATAAAGAATGTAAAGATGTAAATGTGATGAAATACTAACTACAGACTCAATAGAAAACGTAGCAACAACCATTTCTTCCAGCAATATTATAAACTAATGCACTGACTTAATGAAATTTATGATTAAAAGATGTGATTCATTACAGAAGACACTGCTACACACCAGGAAGAACTGAATTTACTTTGTAAAAACTGTAGCCAGGCACAACAGTGTGTGCCCACAATCTCAGCTAGTTGAGAGGCTAAGGCAGAAGGATGCTTGAGCCCAGGAGTCTGATGCCAGCCTGGGCAACACAGCAACAATACAAGACAAGGGTAATGCCGTCTTACAAAAACTAAAAATTAAAAAGCCAGGAAGATCTTAATTTTACAGGATTGATTCAACAGACTAGATTATATTTTCCTTAATCTTTTAACCCCTGTCCAATATCCAATATCTAATGGCAGCTGTTAATTTGCATCTTTAGCCATTATGTGTCAGGGAAGGCCCAACAACTATTACAAATGCACTAATCTGTATTTTCCATTCAATTTGATTGTGAACATAAACTATCCTAAAATAAAGTCTATCAAGTATTTTAAAAAAGTGAAATATATAAGCCCATCATCCACAATCTGATAAGCAAATATACTATTAAAGGATCATAAATGAATTTGCTACGATTCACTGAATAAAATGTAATCATTCTGTTTCTATGTATTAATTTAGTATGGCATAATCTGAAATAATGAAAAATCACTTGTATGTCTTTAGAAAGCATTCTAATTGGTCTATGGAAAACCTAACTAGCAGTCAAGAATATAATGAGAGTTGCAGGGTGTGGTGGTGCACGCCTATAATCCCAGCACTCGGGAGGCTGAGGCAGAAGGATCGAGTGTGAGTTCGAGACCAGCCTGAGCTACATAGTGAGTTCCAGGTCGGTCTCACTACACAGTGAGACCCTGTCTCAAAAAACCCAACCCCCCCACCAAAGACTATAATGAGAAAACACACAGGGCAACATAACATTGTTATGAAAGAATTCCAAGTCAAATAAGAATTCTAGGTCAAATACCCAAAATAATTATTAGAGTGGTAAATACTTACAATTAGGTTGACGATTAATGGAAGGAGCTGTTCAAACCATGGTAACACCTTTTCCTTGTAGCTACTGAATATTGAGTGTAAAATATCTGACACTTTGGTCAATATATAAACATCATTATCATCCTAAGGAAAGACAAAACACACACTCAGATGTGTTAATTAGCACCTTCTCCATCATCACCAGCAACATTTACAAAAAAAAGACTAGAGAATATAAACTTTCTCTTCTGTCTTAAGGTCACATCAATTACCTAGAGACTGAAGCGACCTTAAGGATCAGATGTCACGTCTGACCGGCCTCTATGGACACAGAACAGTGTGCCAAGTAACCTGCACCATTCAAAATTACCCTTGGAACATATTTAAAAGTAGATGATTGAAGAACATTCCCTAATTTACTCTTTCTTTTTAATGGAATGGCACTCGTTTTGGAGAGGCGATGGGAGGCTATCATGGTGGTGGCAATGTGGGCTCCACTCCACCAAAGGGTGGCACTGCAGACGCTG